TTATGTGATCCTATGTGACTATAAAATATAGCAATGAAGGTCCAATTATATAGATGAAGAAAAAAGGCAACTTGGGCTTGGGAACTTTGGTACAAGCAACTTGATATCAGAGGAGAGATGTAGGGCATGATGAATACTAAAGAGCTTTAAGTATTTAAGGATACAAAGACTTACTGTGTCTCAAAGCAGACTGATGGAGAATGACTAAGTAATATCTATGAGTGAAATAATGAATTATGAATCATGTATTCTATAGCTATGGCTGAGGTTGGTGGTGTGGATAATTCAGTGTTTAATTCAAAAACGACAGAATATTTCCCATAGACATGAAGGAAAACAGAATATACTTAAAGTGCACCACAGTTATGTTTAATTCTGAAATTCTAAATTTCGCTTATATATTTTTATTTTGCAAGGTTTCCACCCTCCACAAAAAGTTGGTACAATAGCTTAGTTGTTGGGTCATAGACCTGATTTAAATCACTATTTTGATATGTATCGATTATATATAATTATTTCCTGTGACTCTATATGTCTCTTTCTTTAGAAGGAGAAAAAATGCCGACTTAAGGGAACTGTTAAAACCACAGAGGAATAGATAAAACATTTAACATAGTTTAAGACTTAATATTCACATAATATAGGATATTTTGCTTTGCATAATAAATTGAATCAATAAAATTAGCTCTTCCCTGAAAAGCATGAAAAGGAAATAATTGTTATTTTTTGCTTTCTATTTATTTTCTCATAATTCAACATATGCCTTTTCCCTCACTTTTACAGCTCTGTGTTATTTGCAATTATGATTCTCTTTGCTGAGAATATCCATTTAATTACATTTATTATATTAACTGGAAATCCTTCCTGTATAATTCAGATATTGTGAGCAACTTCATCTTTTACATTGACATGACATTTGGTATATGCTTTTATAAAAAAAATTAATTCTGTATGTAGATGGATATCTTTCTGTCATCTGAAGTCCCATATAGTAAAGATGGTATTACTCTCTTAACCCAAATTGCTACCACATACTTGCCACCTAGTTGCTTTAATAAATTTTTTTAGA